AAAATAACATCATTTCATAGAATTGTTTATGATTGTTTGAACAAGTGTACGACAAATTCAGATTGTTCAGCATTTCATTCCTATTTCATAAAATGATGTTGATGTTCCTATTTCATTATAATCTATAAAAAAAAGAGTATTTTGCTTCGCATTGGGGGAACTCTTTAATATATAAATATAAATCGTTAACAATATAATTTAATGTATAAGTAACTTTAAACAAATTTTGAAAATTGTCTAATGCTAGCGGTTTGTCTTTCAATTCGTCCTCTGAATGACCAATCCGACCTTAACATCTGTGAGTCTGTCAAAAAATTACACAAATTAAATTAAAAAAAATCACGATTTCAAAATATAATACAGAAAACAAAGATTTTAACATGATTCAATGTAAAAGACCGAAGTTAAAGACACTTGATTTAGTCACTGATTTTTATTTAAAAAATCATTTGATTTAAGTCGTCATTTAAATCAAGATGGCAAGATCAAAGTCAAGATTTAATCATTCCAACCCAGCTCAGCGGGCAATGGCGGAATGAAGTTAGACAAAGAGGGAGGACAGTTGAGATCTACGTATAATATCTCTACTATAGCAGAAATGAAATTTTATCTACTGAAGCAATTTTAAACCAGCCAAACTGCACCTGTCTTCACATCTTGAAATATCAACCTTACCAAATATCACATGACTCCAAAGGCAATTGCGTTTCAATAGAAACTCGACGTTCTGCTTAATATCTGTGAAAACGCCTGTCACCACCATCTTAGTGCTTTTGCAGTAAATCGACTTCAAGCCTGTGTCAGCCTGGAAACATTCCTCTACTGGACTCCACATACATATTTATATAACTGTCTCCATACGAAATGATTGTATCTATATTCCCCCAATATCTTTATGTCACTTATTGAGTACACTCGGAACCATCGAATACATAACCAGAATTAGAGACGAAATGTCATTTAATTTGTTTGAAAACTATTCTGCCATATCATTACGGTGACAACTGCGCTCCGATTGGCCAGCCCAAATTCGAAACAATTCACGGGTGTCGTCAATTATTTTACTTCAAATCGACCAGTTTAACTTGAGCTTTGCTATAATGGACAAAAATAGAGAAATTACGTATTTAATTACCAATGAAATTTGGTTCCGTTTGTTTTGTAATTAGATATTTTGTTGTTTTTCCCACACCACCGAATGGAAAAGCCCTCCATAGTTAAAGATCATTATATCACAATAAAAAAAAGAATATTTTTTTAATAAACGTAGACGTATACACAGGTCAGTTGTTGGCACTGTACTATTTCAGCTTTCTAATTTGTGATTTCAGTACAAACGACAGTTGATATTTAACAGTGATATAATGCCCATTTGCCTGATGAGTTGCCAGGAATGGATGGCCCTTATGTCTCTATTTCTGGTTATATACTCTATGCTCGGAACGCTAAGAAAAATGTTTTAAAAGTTCTTCCTTAGTGATCATTTTTGTCAATACGAAATCGTAAGGCCAAAATTAGATTGTCCAACATTGACGTACAATTATATGGACGTCGGGTTCGCGCTAAAAAGTGTCCGCACTTGTAAGGCGCTAAAATCGTATACAGAGCGCGACACTCCGCTTTAGTCTTCATTTGTTCTACGGACAGCGCGATACTGCGATGACATAACAATTTAAATTTCGAATAGGTTGACTTGGGACATTTTTTTCGTGGTTTTTGTATTAGACCCGTCGTCCATTTATTTGTAAGTCAATGTTGTCCAAAGATCGAATTACACTAGTAAAGTAGTAAGTGATGAAAGTGTGTGACGAATCCAAAGACAGTGCATCATACGTCAACAACTTAGAGATAATAAAAATTAAAAAAAATACGCTCGTAGTGGAGGTTGGACTGTGCAAAATGGCTGCGTTTATGGTGAATACGCTTTTCATGCAGTTATTTAGTTAAGCAGTAGCAGAAGAGCTCCTTGTGAAAGAGGTCGTCCGGGGTAGTATTGCCACATTACCTGTTTCTACCGCCAAGCAGTAATGCGAACGTTACTGCGTTCCAGTTTTAAAAGGTGCTGGTGAAATTACAGGCATATTCAGACATTCGCATTTTTTTACTCTGTGTGGCACTGCATCTGTTATGGACAGGCACATGACTTGTTCGTCCTGCTACTAGGTACCATAAAAAAATCATTTTAAAATGGTATTCAACACAAGCGCGGCTATTTTGCACGATTTAACCTCCGCTGGGTTCAAGGATTTAATTTATTAATTTATTTCCATTTTTATTAACATAGTGTTCTGCAAAGTAACGCTCGAATCTATTAATTGCTTTTGAAGTATTCGTGTAAAACGACCTTTACTATCTGGCGTTTGTCGACACCTATACGGAATTAGTATTTAATTAGTAAGATGTACCTTAATTTATAGAATTATTGTCGTAAACATTTAATCTCTGATCGAACAAGAACAACTTCCCAGAACCCATATATCGTGAGCTAAAATTTTGAACTTAACCGCACATTCACGTTTGAAAACGGTTTCAAAAGCACCAGGTGTTCAGGCATCGCCGTATGAAATAAGTGCCTGTGAATTGAAATATTATTGGTATCCAACTATCGACGGTTTATCGAGCAAGGATTATTTGCGACGCTTCCAACCGTATATTTATAGGGAACAGAAAATTTTTGTTGAGCTTCTGCAATATTGTTTCGTAAGATTGGAAGGTGTATTTTTAGTTTTCTGTACGAAGTAAATCCAAAAAGCTTTCCAGTGTAGCTCTCTTATTTATAAATATATTTTCATCTTTAATAATTTAAGTTTATGAATATATTAAAATCATTTTATTCGTAAATTATCATGCTGATATAATGTACATTGCGTAGAGATCTTAGAAATTTTAAAAAATGAAAATTTAGCAAGGAATTTAGTCTAATCAAACATTTCAAGTTATGGTCAACCAAGATGCGAGTTTGGAACTTTAAACATTTACGACAAAATTTTAGAAACGTTCTCTGAAAATGCTATGCTATTTTTCTTAACTGTTAGTAATACATATTCGTTATATTAAAATACACATGTTCCGATATTTACAAATGTTTTATTGACAAATAAATGTCGGATGAAGACGGTGACATAAACAAAATGTAGCATTATTTGTAGCATGTGTGTATCAGGTACTCTCTCTTAATTTTGACGAGGAACTCTGGTCGCCAGCAGCATGATTATGTGCCTTTTCCAGACTTTTCCGGTGTCAGTTTGGAGCTCGTAATGTAGTTAGCCCAACTACCTCGTTACTGTTGCTAACACCCTGACCGGTGTGTACGTCTTCGTATATTCCAATAATATTCTGTATTTATTGTAATAAAGATAATATCTCTAACTATGGAGAGCTGTTCCATTCGGTGGTGTGGGAAATATATCGGAAATCGGAATCACATTTCATCGGTAATGAAATATTAAATATGCAATTTTTCAATTTTCGTCCATTATAGCAAAGCTCAAGTTAAAGTGGTCGATTTGAAGTGAAACTATTGACGACAACCGTCAATTGTTTCGAATCCGGGCTGAGCAATCGAAGCGCAGTTGTCACCGTAATGATATTGCAGAATAGTTTTCAAACAAATTAAATGACATTTTGTCTCTATTTCCGGTTATATACTTGACGTTATTAATAATGATATAAAATCCTCTGTAAGCCTCGTGCTAGAAATCAAACCTAGAAACTCAGACAAGCATTCTCCCAACTAAGTTATTACTGCTGATGTATGTACGTTGCTCATCCGTGTTCAGTATGTATAAACGAGTATGTACTCCTATTACAGGGGATCATTAAGCACGTGCCATTAGCGGTAATGTTGGGAGCAGTGATTATATTAATTCCGGGGACAGCCAGGTCATGCATCGTTGAGCTCAGGAACGCGATTGTTGTCTGATGGAGAACGTCATCTGTTTTAGCATTGTCTTCTACACACGTAGTGCAGATACGACTAACCTATCTATAGTTGTTGTTAGAAGCAAATTAATTTGCGAACCCGATAGAGGTTACATCATGCAAAATAGCTACGCTTGTGATGACTATTTTTTTCTCATATAGTTTATTTTCCCACCCGCTGTCCGCATAAAATACATAACACAAGCGCAACTATAGTTAAAGACACTACCACCAAAAATATACCCGACACGTGTTTCGCCTCTCGTGTTGTTGATTGTTCGACACTCGGGCGAAGATTCGTCGGCCGAAATATGTGCATGTTGCTACCGGGATTCGAGGACCTCTCATCTTGTAGCAACCGTTGTCCCGCCGGGTTACCACGACTGTCAATGATTTGTCAGTCTTTTTATTTACTTTTTTTACAAAAAATTCCCAGTTTCTTGTGCCACCTCGTGTAATCAAAGATTAAATAAGTAAACCTTAGGCCGCGTTCCCATTATGTCGCGTTTTATTTATCGTTAGACGACTGTGGCATCTAGCGTGTTCCCATATCACGACTATATGTCGTGACTGTGTCGTGGACGTTTATTTTATCGTTGAACGACAATCGTGTTGAGCTGTTCCCACTACATCGTGACGATAATTTATTGGTTCACGGCAGCCGCCTTGTCGTTTGCACGACAGAATCGTCTGAATCCGCGATTATCTGTCGTCACATTTACATCGTGACGTTTTATTCATCGTTCGACGACTGTTGTTCTAGCCCTCCCCATAGTCACGACAGTCTGTCGTCGTAACGTCAAAAAAAATTGTGAATAACTGTTAATAGTGTTCTTGTGTTAAGAGTACACTGCCAACTTTCGGGACGGGTCACTCCTATGCCAGCTGCCCTAAACTCAATGGAGCGAAAAGCTAAAACATTTATTAGCGACGCATCTTATGGATGCGAAGCTTCAAATCCCGAACGTAGAAAAGTAGCCTGCTTATCAGTTCTTTATCGTTATAAGTTTATATACAATATTAATGTCATGAATTATTTGCGAATAAGAGAATTTAATTTTGCATTTTCTTTTCATTAGGGAAAAGTTCCTGTCCACCACTATCAACACGAATATAGTGTCGGTCACTTATATGACCAAACTCGTGTTACCTGCCATGGTGAAGAGAGGAAAGGGCATAATCATCAACATTGGTTCTGGTTCAACTGCAAATCCTGCTCCTCTACTTGCCATGTATGCTGCTTCTAAGGTTCGTAATATCCAATCATTTTTATTTTCATTATACATTTAGCTATAGTCTTTTTTGAAGATGGAGCAAAATGACATTAACAAGGTGGCCGTTTTCATAAAATTTTAAATAGTCATATAGTGATTGTCGACAATTTTATCGATAAGTTGTGACGGTAGGTAAAATTTTGCCAAAATTGTCTGAATTTTGAATGTTGCGACGTTGTAATGATTATTAATTGCGTTATTGTATTCTTTATTCATAATTTGACAGTTGGTCTGTTAATATCGAAATCAGTTTTCAGTCGGCGAATTTAATTATGTATATTAAATTCAAATGAAAAACTTTAAAATATGGCTTCTATTTGTATTTTTAACCGACTTCAAAAAGAGGAGGAGGGTCACAATTCGATTGTATTTTTTTATGTATGTTACGCGATATCTCGATAACTCGACCCGATAATTTGTGAACCGATTTTGATGATTCTTTTTTTTTGTTGGAAAGGGGGTACTTTAGATGTGGTCCCATTTAAATTTGAAGAAAATATTCCACCTCTAAGGGTGGCAAACTAGGGGATGAATGACTTTCGAGGGCGGTTTTTTAGTATTCTGTTCTGTTTTATAATCATACACATGCTGCAAAACTTAGTGTATGTATGTATGAACTTCTTTTTATTTCATAAGCGCAACCAATATTCAGACCATAGAAGATATATATATATATATATATATTGATCGACTGCAATCACTAACTGCTTGCAAGCGGGCAACACTTTTACGCAATGATCTGTCATTTTACTTCACCTTTAAAAAAGATAGTTATAATTCTTATATATTCTGTACATCGTTACTACGAGTAAAACACTATTTTGGGCAAAGATACATTTCCATAGTAATCATAAATTTTCACATTGTTTGTACACTATTAGTAATATAAACATATAGTGATATGAAAATAAATGACAAATTTTTACAAAGTCTCGAAATTCTTGTCCTTTAGGTTTAAAAAAGTATCTGATTATTACCGTAAAATTAATATTTATAAGCAATCATTTTTCAATTGCTAGTAATACCTACATAAAATATTGATTATTCTATTTAAATAAAAATAACATTGACTTACAAATAAATGGACGACGGGTCTAATACAAAAACCACGAAAAAAATGTCCCAAGTCAACCTATTCGAAATTTAAATTGTAATGTCATCGCAGTATCGCGCTGTCAGTCGAACAAATGAAGACTAAAGTGGAGTTTGGCGCTCTGTATACGATTTTAGCGCCTTACAAGTGCGGACACTTTTTAGCGCGGACCCGACGTCCATATAATTGTAAGTCAATGAAAAATAATAATAATATAAAAATGTCCCCAAAATCATTCCCTCACTATGTCCCAAGTTCCATAATCATACACGTTCTGTGCTTTAAATCAGCACATTTAATAAAAATAACCTTTAAATTTTAAACATCCATTAAATAAAATGTGATTTAGCGAAATTAAAGAATCGTAGAAATCGAAATGTAAATCCTTTGGAAAAACACGGTAAATAAATTTATATATATATTTATGTCCCAACCAAAACCGGTCATTCCCTCACTTTTACCTTCATTCAGTTTGTAAACGCATTTTTAAGCTTTGGTAAATGCATATAAGAAGATGAGTTATTGGTAGCAGTAGTTTACCCAAAATATTAAGTCTAAAAGTAAGTTTATATTGCTATTTTTTCTTGGTTTATTTTAATTTCGTCATTCCATCACCGTCATTCCCTCACCCTCAAATGTTCTGACTGTCCTACCTACACTTTTTCTTAAAAGTCATTTATTTTGGGGACCACATCATATTGGTGTGTTCTTGTGTAATAAAAAAATGAAAATTAGCCCCTAATCAAGTACAGTAATATTTCGCTTTACGCGAGGGATGCGTTCCGGACAAAATCGCGTTAAGCGAAATTCGCGTAAAACGGGGATGTTCTTTTTTGTGTAGCCTGTCTGGTTCTATAGTTTTTTGGTCGCCCTAGGGTCTCTAACTCGACCTAACTAATGCTACCAGGGATAGAACTGGGTATGATCGAATAACAAGCTAAATATTGTAACGAATGTGCTATTTGAACGAACCCATCTTTTCTAAAACTTTTATCGTCTCCAAACTCAAGCTCTTACGCCCTTCTTTCTTAGGCGGTAGCGTCATTGTTCGTAAAAATTATCTTTTACAATTCACTCGATAACAGACAGTACTAATGTGATTATAAATTAAAGGTCCTACAAAGAAAGAACTACCGGTGAAGTTGGTTAAATCAATATAATCAATGTATCCACGTAATCGGAATAATTTAGCGCGACTTTTGCAATGCGGGGTCACGCAAAACGAGGTATTATTGCTATGGTGACACTTTATGTACACATATAGGTGTAGAAATAAAAACATCGAAACTGAGAAATTCCTCATAATGTGGAATTTTTGTTTCTTTTTGAATAATTGGAATTACTGTAGCTCTACGCTAAAGCAGCCTTAAAGATCGACTCACCCAATTGTTTTTTGCAGGCATACGTCGAGAAACTAACAGAAACCCTTGAACAGGAATACTCCAAAAAAGGCATCATATTCCAATGCGTCCTCCCGGGTTTTGTTTGCTCCAACATGTCTGGAATCCGCCGTAGCACAATATTGGCCCCTACTGCTAAGACTTATGTCAAATCTGCCATTGGTCATGTGGGAATTGTCTCCAAAACTGTTGGCTATTTGCCGCATGCTGTATTTTTTTTGGTTGTTAACACCATTTATGGAACAAGCAAGGCCTTCGGTATTTGGCTGGTTACAAGGACAATGGAAAACAGCCGCAGAAAAGCACTCAAAAAACACAAGAATCAGTAATATATTTTTCTTTATTAAATACGTTTTGGTCATGTATTGAAACACCTGATTAAATAATAATAGATTTTTGATTTATACAGTGTTTTTTTTAATAGGACAATATGGGGAAATCTGAAATCATAGAAAATTCACGATCAATTTTATTCATTTTATGGACAACTCACGCTTGACCAAAAAATTTACTGCCGAAATTGTTTTCACAAAAAAGACTTAATAGTTCCTAAGACTGTTAGTTTCCTTGTATCTTCTATGGTTTCGGCTTACCCCGTACCGTCCCATTAAAAAAACAGTCTGTGTACATTGTATAATATATATATAAATATAATATTAATTTAATCTATTTATCTTTGGGATAAAACCAAGTACATTTTGATTAGCATTTGAATAAACATATAATTTAAACTTTTCATCACTTAAACAACAATTTCTGCAGCATATCGATATGTGACCAAATAGCTTCAAAAATATCTCAAAAATTGCATTTTCACAATTCACTTAACGCTTTTAATTAGAAATATGACGCATGCCATTTATTAAGCCAAAGATGTAAATACATAGCACATTAAAATATAAAGGGATATAAAGTGCATTTTTTTGGTATATCTTTAACTTATAGAATAAAACAACAAATTTTCCAAAGAAAAAACTTGTTTAATCTTAGCTTTGAAACTTTGAATTCTTCTTCATAACATTTCCATTTTATTACTTACTAAAATCCGTTACTAAACTTATGACATAATAAGACAAATAGTGTAACTCCATAAAAACGTAATGACGCGGTTTGTGCACACATGCACGCACGATGCGCGCCGAGTCCGTATGCACAGATTCGCATAATCTCGTGGTTGCACTCCAGTTGCACAATACGGGTCGCACACGCTATTCGTTATGTAATTGAAACGTTCCACTCTGGGGCCCATATATATATATAGGTATAGTCTTAATAAATCACTTCACGCGTAAAATACAGAGTCGCTAACTACTGTCAGTTGTGAAATGCTTTCGCTCCAAGTTTGCTCCTTACGTTAAATAATAATTATTCTGTAACTTTCGTGAGTTTATGTGCAATCTTTAGAGATTTATTTCTTCTTTCAGTTATACATTAATTGTCTTATTATTCTATGCTAAAATGTACATATCTGTATGTGATTTTTCTTGGACAATTATAATTTAGTGTTGACGGTTCGAATTTTACTAAATACTCTAAAATCCTATGTATTACGTCTTGCTATGTTCTTTACTATTCGCCGTCTCTAAACTTGCGTTGCATTAAAAATGGAAACCATTTTTGACTTAATCTACGCTTAAGGTATTTAAATGTAGGGAATAGTTATTAAATTATAAACGCTAACTGGCTGTGTAGCACGTTTCTAGATTAGTCAGAAATACATGGCTATAATATACTAATATAATGCAACCTTGGGGTGGTCGCATATTAACTATGCCTAAAGTTTTATATAGAACAAAACATTTAACTTTATTTAATGTTTACTCCCGTCACAGAATCTATATTTTGTCAAAACTTAAATACCACTCCATGGTTCGTGCAATGATTACTAAACGGTACCTAGTTTAAGTGGGTGTATTTTTTGGTTCAATAAATGATGTTAGAATGTAATGAGTTTTATTCATTTTACGTACAGTATTTGCTTTCAAAAAAGATTATGTATAAGCTGTAAGATAAAGTCTGTCCATACGTTCATGATCTAAAGTAATAGCAATATAACAAGTTATTAGGAGACAAATTGTAATGATGATATATTGCCGATCGTTGGCAAGTCTTTATTATGATTTATAACTAACGGCTGATTCTTGTATAAAAGAAAGTACGGCTATGACTCAATTCATATTGCGGCGGAAAGGAATGGAAGCGAATTCTTGTAACGACATTGAACTTTGTGGTCAATGGTGTAACGTACAAATTAGATGCCAGCCGAAAACCACGTCACGGGTCTTCCGTGAAATTTTCGCGCATGCTCGAGAATGCTCGCGCATTCGCGAGACTTTCATAGCTGCCGTTGGCGACGCCTGGAAGTGGCACGAAGGCAGGCGCAATGTGACGTCAAATGTCAATGAAATACTACAGCCTCAAGGTGCGGTCGCTGGAATACTCGAGCATTCCATATACCGCGCACGCCTTCAAGCGTAGCGAGGCGAAACTTTCGCTTCCGATCCATTCTGTTCCGCCGCAATGTAAATTGAGCCTATGACAGCAGTAGAATGATTGCCGTTGTTCATTTTCTTTTATTATTGGGTATGTGGCATTATTTTTTTATTAATCTACTTTTTATTGCCAACCCGAAACCCGTATTTCTGTCAGTTATTCAAAGGTTACTGGAAAGAATCTACCCACTTACCCAACCTACCATATCCTTTTTCATCCAAATTCCGT